TTTGGACCTTCATTTAGTCATTGGCGGACCTAGAATTTTGTGCAAACGGGTTCAATCTTAAGTATATAACTTTAGTCGTAAAATAGTAGTTGTCAAGTGAGTTCAAATAAATATTTATACAAAATTTACACAGCTTCAATCCTAATTTACATATATATAGTATTATTTTTTGGTGAAGCGGGTTCAACTGAACCCGCTAGCCACCACTTGGGTCCGCCACTGCATTTAGTGATGTGTTTGAATTTTTTGGTTTGGCCGGAGCTACAGTTCTGCTTAGGGTTCGGTAAGATTCAGTAGCTTTTGCAGAAAAGTAAGTGGGAAATTTGTGGTGTTTGGACCCTTCATTTAGTGATGTATTTGAATTTTCTGATTTGGCCGGAGCTACAGATCTTGAATATGTAGTTGTTGCCACGAACGATGATCTTGTTCTTGAGCTTTAGCTTGATTGCTTGAACTTGACCTTCATTTGTTCTTCGTTCTTGAGCTTGAACCTGAGTTGTTCTTCGTTCTTGAGCTTGAACTTGATTGCTTGAAGCTTGAAACTTGTGGAGGAATTTGCAATGTTTGATCCACGAACTCTTTCTTGCTTCTTGTTATAATTTCTAGTATCTTTTCTGAGTTATGAAGATCCTTCTTTATAGTTGTGGAAGGGAGGAGTTGTAATAAGAACAAACTCTTTCGGCCCAATCAAATTGAAGTGTGACATGGCCGCATTTGATTGATCAGAACATGTCATTTGCATACGTGTGTGGTTTAATTGATCTTTTAATGTGACTTGGCATGCCTTGTTATTTTGAAACGTGGCATGATCCTATTGGCTCTTCCGTTTGACTTGGTGTGCCACGTCATTTCACGCGTGGCACCAAATTGAGCCTCTAGGAAGATGATATTTTGGGCCTAATGAAGTGGCCTCATCATTTGTAGCCCAATTATATTGGACTAATATAATTAATCCAATTATATTATCTCATAATATTTATTTGGACTAGTATATTTAAAATATATTTCAAATTATTTATTGAATTTAAATTCAATAAATTTTACATGCATACCGTAATGAACTTCTCAATATATATATATATATATATATATATATATATATATATAGTAGAGCTGCATAACTCTTACATTAATAAGAGAGTTTGAAGGAGGGTGAATAGGAGAGGAATATGGATTACTTTACACTTGTGTTTGGATCAATTTTTGCTTGCATTTTTCTTCTTTTTCTATCAAAAAGAAACAAAAAGCTTCCACCAGGGCCATTTCAACTGCCAATAATCGGTAACTTATTTCATTTATTAGGTGCAAAAACACATATATCACTAGCCAATCTTGCAAAAATTTATGGTCCAATTATGAGTTTAAAACTTGGCCAAACAACCACAATTGTCATTTCTTCATCAACCATGGCAAAACAAGTCCTTCAAAATCAAGATCAAGCATTTTCCAATAGATTTATCCCTAATGCACTTCAAGCACACAATTATTCCAAATTCTCAGTGCTGTGGCTCCCCGTTAGTCCGACGTGGCGAACCCTTCGACGAATCTTGAACTCCAACATCCTTTCTCTCACTAAACTTGATTCAAATCAACACTTAAGATCACAAAAAGTACAACAATTAGTTGATTATGTTGCAAAATGTAGTCAAGAAGGTGAAGTTGTGATCATTGGCAAAGCTGCTTTCAAGACTTCTCTCAATTTGTTGTCCAATATTCTCTTCTCTAAGGACTTGGTTGACCCTTTTTTGAATTCAAAGGTAGAGCTAAAACATGTTATTGTGATGGCCCGACTCCTCATTTTGACTTTTTGGGTACTAAAAAAGGGCAGTCTGGTGCACTAAACTCCCGCAATGCGTGGAGTCTATTACACGCAGCTTTCCCCTGCATTTCTACAAGAGACTGCTTCCACGGCTTGAACCCGTGACCGCTTGGTCAGATGACAACAACTTTACTAGTTACGTCAAGGCTCCCTTCTTTTTGTATAAAGGTAGAGCTGAAAAATGTTATTGTAACGCCCCGACTCCTCATTTTGAATTTTTATGTACTAAAAAAGGGCAGTCTGGTGCACTAAGCTCCCGCTATGCGTGGGGTCTATTACATGCAGTCTTACCCTACATTTCTGCAAGATGTTGTTTCCACATCTTGAACTCGTCACCTCCTAGTCACATGGCAACAACTTTACCAACAATGTCAATGCTCCCTTCATTTTGTATAAAGGTAGAGCTGAAAAATGTTGTTTTGTTTGATTTTCTCTCCCTTTCTCTGAGCCGAGGGTCGGTCGGAAACAGCCTCTCTACCCTTTCGGGTAGGGGTAAGGCCTGTGTACGTATTACCCTCCCCAGACCCCACTTTGTGAGAATATACTGGGTAGTTATTGTTGTTGTTGTTGTTGTTGTTGTTGTAGAGCTGAAAAATGTAATTGTAACGCCCCGACTCCTCAATTTGACTTTTTGTGTACTAAACAAGGACAGCCCGGTGCACTAAGCTCCTGCTATGCGCGGAGTCTATTGTACGCAGTCATACCATTCATTTATACAAGAGCTTGTTTTCACGGCTTGAACCTGTAACTTCCTAGTCACATGGCAACAACTTTACCAGTTACGCCAAGGCTTCCTTCTTTTTGTATAAAGGTAGAGCTGAAAAATGTTACTGTGACGCCCCGATTCCTCAATTTGATTTTTTGTTTGCTAAACAAGGGCAGTCTGATGCACTAAGCTCCTGCTATGCGCGGTCTATAGTACGCAGCCATACTTTGCATTTCTACAGGAGGTTGTTTCCACAGCTTGAACCTGTAACCTCCTGGTCACATGGCAACAACTTTACCAGCTACACCGAGGCTCCCCTTTTTTTTGTGTACTAAACAGTGCATATAATTGTTTGTGACCCTTTTTTTGGATTCATAATAGGTAGAGTTGAAGGATGTGATTTGGAACATCTTGGCCGAGGCTGGGAAGCCTAACCTAGTGGATTTCTTTCCCATACTTGAAAAGATTGATCCTCAACGAATTAGGCGTAACACAGAAATTCATTTCAGTAAGTTGTTTGTGCTTTTCGAAGATTTGATCAACGAGCGATTGGAGGAAAAGAGAAGGAGTAGTAGTACAAAAAATGATGTTTTGGAAGTGTTTCTCAAAATTAGAGAAGAAAATTCGGAAGAAATCGATCAGAATCACATCAATTCCTTGCTCCTGGTTTGTGCTTCTCTTTTATCATCAGCTTTAGTTTTGCTATCGTGGTATTATTACTGGTGGTTATTATTATTGCTTTTCTATCTTTTTTGGTCTCTTACGATGCTAATATTATTTTTTCCACGGTTCGAACACGTGACCTCCTGGTCACACGGCAACAACTTTACCAGTATTTCAATAATTCAGATGATACACTAACTAATTAATACAAAAGAAATATTATTATTGGGTTCGCATTGATACATTTGAAGGGATTTACGAAAAATGTTTCAGGACATATTTATTGGCGGTACTGATACCACGACAAGTACAGTGGAATGGGCAATGGCGGAAATACTTAGACAACCTGAGATTATGAAGAAAGTACAAGCTGAGCTTGCAGAAGTTGTTGGAAAAGGAAAACCAATACAAGAAGATGATGTTTCTCGACTCCCCTACTTGCAATGTATTGTCAAAGAAACCTTAAGAATGCACCCACCAGTTCCATTCTTACTTCCGCGCAAAGTAGAAGACGATGTTGAAGTGTGTGACTATATTGTCCCGAAGGGATCACAGGTAATATTTTCAAATTGGCAGGTTAAGATGGATTGAATTGATAATCGGATTGGCTCATAAGCTGACCAAACTAACACAAGCTTTTCTCGGGGCAAGTGTACACATAGCCATTTCAGAAATACTGTTTTGAGATTAGCCAATACTTATTTTGTCCTGAAATTTTAAACTAAAAATCTTAACTTCAGGACAACTCATAATATTTTTGACCTGAAAAACTAAAATTCAAGATACACTAGCTAATTTCTAAATAGCAGACTTTTAGAGTGGCTACCTGATGTTATTATCTGGCTTTTCTTTTGTTTATCACGACTACATTTAACTGACCAAGCGGGAAAAACTTCTTTTTTTCAATGTGCTGATAAGTTTCCTAATCGGTCAATTTGGGCTACATAGGTTGTCCTAGTTTGTTGAGTATCCAAATTGACCAAACTATAGATGGCTAACTCGGGCTATGCCTAAATAAACCAGCCAATTACTATATCCCCAGTCAAACCATCCAAATTTGGACGAGTTGGATAAGTTAAATTTTTTTGAGCTAAATTTGACACTCCTAATCACAGGTACTAGTTAATGTGTGGGCAATCGGTCGAGACTCAGCTTTGTGGAAGGAGCCACTAGTGTTTAAACCTGAGAGGTTTTGGAGTTCAGAATTGGATGTGCGAGGCAAAGATTTTGAATTGATTCCATTTGGTGCTGGGCGAAGAATATGCCCTGGATTACCTCTGGCTGCATTAAGAATGGTTCCAGTAATGGTGGGTTCACTCTTGAATTCCTTCCATTGGAAACTTGAAGAAGGCATTAAGCCAGAAGAACTAGACATGGAGGAAAAGTTTGGTATCACTTTAGCCAAAGCCTGTCCTTTACGAGCTATCGCATATCCTATTTGATAGTACAAAGGATTAGGAGGCGGAGCAACAGCGATAGCTATAGGTTCGACAGCATAGCTTTGGCTCAAACTCTATTTTAATAATTCCACTTGATATGTACTATAATAATTATCCGGAACTAGTATGATGTCTTTTTTAGAATCCAGAACCCATAAACTCAAAATCTTGGATCCGCCTCTGCATAGGATATATTCGAGTTTTGTGCTATCATTTAGTGATTTGCAATTTTCTTCAAAAGGATAAGGGAATAAGAATAAAAAGATTATATGATGATGAAAAAGAGGAGATTGTGGTATATTATTTGTTTTCTCATATATGCCAGTCTGCCACCAACACTTTGTTTACAGGTAGAAATTTCAAGTCTAAAGACCTCACACATTCTTATATATGAAGTTCTGTATTGAAAGGACTTAGTTTAAAAAATATAACAAGCATTTACTGAACATGAAACTTTGTTGTTTGGACATACACTATCATGAATATAAGGTTATTATCAACCCTTAAACTTCCCCCAGACCTCACCCGTGGGATTAGGTGGTTATTGTTGTTGTTGTATCGACCGTTAAACTTCAAGATACATGAACAATGATTAATGAACATTCTAGGATGACTCGACAATACAAATGAGCCTAGACACTTGTTTATACTTTAATAAATTTACTATTTCCAACAACAGCATGTTTCAAATACATTGTAACGTGGAAAGTGCGCGAAAATCTTATCTCGTAGCCTTCCAAGTTGACAACGATATAGTATCCGAGTTTTTGTGATTTGCATCAGAAGCATCTCTTTCACCTTTGACTGCATCAGCTGAAGCAATGGATTCAAGCTCCGCCATGTCTTCTGTTGTTAACTTAATGGACAGAGCTCTAATGTTCTGGTTGAGGTTTTCGATCTTAGTGGTACCTGGAAACAGCGGATGTATCATAGTCAGCACTCGATAGTGTTGAAATGTCAAAAATAGCAGCTTCCCACATCGGTGGGTAGAAGATTTTTGGTTGGAATTTTCCCTATAAAAGAAGGCCTAATGTTTAGGATTTAAAAACACCTCTCAATTGTCTTCTTATCTATTTAAGGCATTTGTATCTTCTCTCTTTAGTATAATTTCACTTGTATTTTTGGAGTGGAATAAAATATTGGTTGTGTCCGAGGAGTAGGCTAAATTGGCCGAACCTCGTTAAATTCTGGTTTTCCTTTTATTATTGCTTTATTGTCTTATTTATTATTTAGTGGCTGCCATATTTTTGGTATACTAGTTGTGACATATTCACACTATATACATTTGGCTTCCGCAACAATTGGCATCAGAGCCAAGGTACTGTCTAAGTATGCTCTGTGGCTGCAGACCCAGTCTGATCTTCCACATCAGAAAAGATTTATCTTGGTAACTGAGTCAAGGTTCTATCTGAGTATGCTCTGTGGCTGCAGACCTGGTCTGATCTTCCACACCAGAAAGAAAATAATCTTGATTTGTGTTGTCAGCTATTAAATAATTTTGTGTCAAAATGGGAGACAATAAACAAGAAGAATCTACATCGAGTGTCAGCAATACGTCATCATTGTCATCTTCGCTTATGACAAGAATTGTGTCAAATGCAAAATTTGCGGTAGAAATTTTTGACCGGTCCGGACATTTTGGGATGTGGCAAGGCGAGGTTCTAGATGTCCTTTTTCAACAAGGGCTAGATCTGGCCATTGAAGAAAAGAAACCAGATGTTATTGGAGAAGAAGATTGGAAAATCATCAACCGTATTGCTTGCGGTACCATTCGATCCTACCTTGCTAGAGAGCAGAAATATCCATACACAAAGGAAACTTCTGCAAGTAGATTATGAAAAGTACTGGAGGATAAATTTTGGAAGAAAAACAGTCAAAATATATTGTACATGAAGAAGAGACTATTTCGCTTCACCTATGTTCCTGGTACCACGATGAATGAACATATCACCAGTTTCAATAAGTTGGTCACAGATTTGCAAAATATGGATACAACTTATGATGATGGTGACTTGGCCTTGATGTTGTTGGCGTCACTTCCTGATGAGTACGAGCACCTTGAAACTACTCTACTCCATGGAAATGACGAAGTTTCTCTCAGAGAAGTTTGTTCGGCTTTGTACAGCTATGAACAAAGAAAGCGAGAAAAACAGAAGGGCGGAGAAGGAGAAGCACTATTTGTGAGGGGTCGTCCTCAAAATCAAACGAGGACAAAGAAAGAAAGATCTAAGTCAAGATCTAAACCCAGCAAAGATGAATGTGCCTTTTGTCGAGAAAAGGGTTACTGGAAGAAAGACTGTCCGAAGTTGAAGAATAAGGCCAATGGAAAGGCCATTATGGATTCAAATGTAGCTGATTGTGATAATTCAGACTTCTCATTAGTCTCATTAGTTACAACAGAGTCATCAACATCATCAGACATATGGTTGATGGACTCGGCTTGTAGCTATCATATGTGTCCCAACAGGGACTGGTTCGTGGAATTTCAAGAAGGAGAATATGGAGTCGTCCACACAGCAGGCAACAGCCCTCTTACCTCATATGGCATTGGTTCAATACGATTGAGGAACCATGATGGAATGATCATAACATTAACAGATGTTAGATATGTACCGGATTTGAAGAAGAATCTCATCTCTATGAAAGCCCTAGATTCAAAAGGGTTCAAAATCATTGCAGAAAATGGAGTGATGAGAATATGCTCTGGTGCACTGGTGGTAATGAAGGCTAATCGGAAGAACAACAACATGTACCGCTATCGTCGTAGTACAGTTATTGGGACAGCGGCAGCAATGTCCAGTGACGACAAGGAGGAAGAAGCAACCAGGCTATGGCATATGCGCTTGGGACATGCTGGTGGAAAATGCTTGAAAACTTTATCAGATCAAGGATTGTTAAAGGGAGTAAAGGCTTGCAACTTGGAGTTTTGCGAGCATTGTGTCAAAGGGAAACAGACAAGGGTTAAATTTGGTACAGCGATCCATAATACTAAAGGCATTTTGGATTATGTACACTCTGATATTTGGGGTCCTTCCAAAACACCTTCATTGGGTGGGAAGCACTATTTTGTAACCTTTGTTGATGATTTTTCCCGAAGAGTATGGGTGTATACAATGAAGAGCAAAGACGAAGTGCTGGGAATTTTTCTCAAATGGAAGATGATGGTGGAGAATCAAACGGGCAGGAGGATCAAGTGTATTCGCACAGACAATGGAGGTGAATACAAAAATAATCATTTCAAAAAGGTCTGTGAAAATGATGGCATCGTCTGACACTTCACTGTCAGACATACACCACAACAGAATGGAGTGGCAGAACGCATGAACCGGACCTTGCTGGAGAAGGTGCGGTGTATGTTGTTCAATGCTGGCTTGGGCAAAGAATTTTAGGCTGAGGCAATTACATATGCATGTCACCTCATTAATCGTCTACCATCTGCTGCTATTGATGGCAAGACATCGTTTAAAAAATGGTATGGAAAGCCTGCTGTAGATTATGACTCTTTGCACGTGTTTGGCTCAACTGCATATTATCATATGACAGAGTCAAAATTGGATCCAAGGGCAAAGAAGGCTATTTTTATGGGAATTACTTTCGGAGTCAAAGGATATTGCTTATGGTGTCCTATGACAAAGAAAGTAATATTCAGCAGGGATGTTACCTTCGATGAATCTGCTATGGTAAATAAGGTAACAAGTGGAGATACCAAACAAGATGATGGTGCTTCTAAGCAGGTGGAGTTTGAGGGAAAATTTATTTTTCCTACACAAGAAGCAGAGGAGGAAACAAGTGAAGATTACCCTCTGGATGGAGAGTCAGTAGAGGAGATTCCAACTCAGGAACCTCAACAACAACTTGAATCAATAGCAACCAGCGGGCCAAAAAGGACAATAACGAAACCTGTTCGTCTCATAGAGACGGTTGCTTGTGCAACCTCAATTATAGCTGATGATGTTCGTACCACTTATAAAGATGCAGTCCAAAGTTCAGAAGAATATAAGTGGAGGATTGCCATGAATGATGAAATACAGTCCCTTCATCAGAATCATACATGGAGATTGGCCAATTTCCCGAAGGGAAAGAAAGCAATTGGGTGCAAATAGGTATTTGCAAAGAAGGAAGGATTTCCTAACCAGTAGATGTTCGCTACAAAGTAAGATTGGTGGCCAAAGGATATGCTCAAAAGGAGGAAATTGATTATAATGAAGTATTTTCTCCAGTTGTAAAACATTCCTCCATTCGAATTATGTTGGCTTTGGTAGCACAGTTGGATTTGAAACTAGTTCAGATGGATGTAAAAACTGCGTTTTTACATGGAAACTTGGAGGAGGAAATCTACATGACTTAGCCGGAAGGATTCAAAGTTGCTGGAAAGGAAGATATGGTGTGCAAACTTGAAAAATCATTGTACGGATTGAAGCAATCTTCTAGACAATGGTACAAGCAATTTGACAAGTTTATGTTGCAGCAAGAATACAAGAGAAGCAAATACGATCATTGTGTGTATTTGCGCAAACTTAAAGATGGTTCCTTTATATATCTTCTCCTATATGTTGATGATATGTTGATAGCTTCCAAAAATTCGGAAGAAATTGGTAAGTTGAAGATTCAACTGAAGAAGGAGTTCGAGATGAAGGATCTGGGTGAGGCAAAGAAAATTCTTGGCATGAAGATAATAAGAGATAGGCGTTCAAAGAAACTCTGTTTATCTCAGAAAGAATATTTGAAGAGAGTACTACAATATTTTGGCATAGATGACAAGACTAAGCCAGTTAGAACTCCACTTGCTCCCCATTTTAAGCTGAGTACTACTATGTCGCCAAAGGATAAAGCTGAACGAGAGTATATGTCAAAGGTACCATACGCAAATGATGTTGGTAGCTTGATATATGCAATGGTCTATACGAGACCTGACATTTCACAAGTTGTTGGAGTTATTAGCAGATATATGCATAATCCAGGGAAGGAGCATTGGCAAGTTGTGAAGTGGATTCTACGGTATATTCATAATACTGTAGATGTTGGGTTAGTTTTTGAGCAGGAAAGCAATCAGTCTGTAGTTGGATATTGTGACTCAGATTTTGCGGGTGATCTGGACAAACGAAGATCAACTACTGGTTATGTGTTTACTTTTGCAAAGGCACCAGTTAGTTGGAAGTCTACTTTGCAGTCAACAGTTGCTTTGTCTACAACAGAGGCAGAGTACATGGCTATTACAGATGCTGTGAAAGAGGCAATTTGGCTTCAAGGATTGCTAAAGGAGCTTGGTGTTGAACAAAAAGGTATTACAATTTTTTGTGATAGTCAAAGTGTTATTCAATTAGCAAAGAACCAAGTTTATCATGCAAGGACGAAGCACATTGATGTTCGGTACCATTTCGTACGAGAAATCATAGAAGAAGGTGGAGTCACGGTGAAGAAAATTTATACTACGGAGAATCCTGCTGATATGCTGACAAAAGTAATGACTGCAATCAAGTTTCAATATTGTTTGGATTTGATCAACATTGTTGAACACTGAAGATTGAAGATGAAGACACAACCAAAATTTATTATAGAGAGAAAATTGAAGATGTGAAATTTTTGCCAAGGTGGAGATTTGTTGAAATGTCAAAAATAGCAGCTTCCCACATCGATGGATAGAAGATTTTTGGTTGGAATTTTTCCTATAAAAGAAGGCCTAATGTTTAGGATTTAAAAACACCTCTCAATTGCCTTCTTATCTATTTAAGGCATTTGTATCTTCTCTCTTTAGTATTATTTCACTTGTATTTTTGGAGTGGAATAAAATATTGGTTGTGTCCGAGGAGTAGGCTATATTGGCCGAACCTTGTTAAATTCTGGTGTTCCTTTTATTATTGCTTTATTGTCTTATTTATTATTTAGTGGCTGCCATATTTTTGGTATACTAGTTGTGACTTATTCACACTATATACATTTGGCTTCCACAACAGATAGGTTCAACTGAATCTAGTATTTTCAATACGAAGCACAAATTTGTATCTGAAAAAGCACTTACATTAAAAGAAAATTGAGCATATAATTTCTTAAGTATAATAGGTTTAATTGTAAGAACATAAAAATTGAACGCGTCAAATTTAGATTCTGGATCTGTATCAAATACCTGGGATGGGGCACACATCATTTCCTTGGTGATGTACCCAGGCCAAGGCTAGTTGGGATGGCGTACATCCTTTTTTCTCTGCCATTTTGCAAATTCTCTCGTACAAGATCTTGTTATGCTCAAGATTCTCGGCTTGAAACCTTGGTATATGCTGTAAAATCAATATATATATATATATATATATATATATATATCAAATTCGATATGTAGTTAGTTTCTTTTGAAATAGAAACTAACTACAAAGATAGAATTGGCTTTGATTGGTCGAGACAGAACTTAGCGATTCTAGCTAACACCAGATTTGAAGCTCAAATTTCTGCGTTCTTAATATATAAATCTTCTGCAGAAGTTTAAAAAAAAAAAAAAAGACAGCCCGGTATGCTCCCGCTATGAGTGGAGTCCGGGGAAGGGTTGGACCATAAAGGTTCTATTGTACGCAGCGTTATCTTACATTTCTGCAAGAGGCTGTTTTCACGGCTCGAACCCGTGACCTCCTGATCACATGGCAGCAACTTTACCCGTTACGCCAAGGCTCCCCTTTAGCAGTAAGACATGAAAAAAGCAAAAATGGATGCAGCTAACCTTCCGAAAGTCCTCATTCGACAAATTCTCGAGCAGCTTCGGACCAGATGACAAAAAACCTTTTCCCAGGGGACTGTATCCTACGATTCCAATTCCAAGTTCCCTACAACATTAAGTTTAATCATGATCAATGCTGCATTAAGAACTTATAATTAATGTTTCTTTAGACACTAAATGAAAATGGATATGATGAATGTTAAACCTGCAAGTAGGGATTATTTCTTCCTCTGCATCTCTTGACCACAGAGACCATTCTAATTGTACTGCTGTTATTGGATGAACTGCATGTGCTCTTCTAATCGTCGATGCTGAAGCCTCGGATAGACCTATATATTTTATTTTACCCTCTTCAACCAGCTTCTTGAGTTCTCCCATCTTTGAAAAAAACAATAGCAAATCTCAAAAGAATACTAAATTTTGAACGACAAGCATGATGGACAAAGATACAGAAGAAAATGATGTACACTACTGATTAGGATGATGTATCATTTGATTACTATCAGTTCGTCTTGATAAGGAAGGGAAGCCTTGGCGTAACTGGTAAAGTTGCTGCCATGTAACCAGGAGGTCGCGGGTTCGAGCCGTGGAAACAGCCTCTTGCATAAATGCAGGATAAGTCGGGCTGCCTTTTTTTAGTTCGTCTTGATAAGTTTAATTGGAAAAATGAAAGAGAACATCATTTTGCAACATTCTAATTATCTTCCTCATAAAATGCCCAAATAACTCTGAAATTTCCAATATTTTGTGTCTGCCAAATGAGCCACCAAAAGTCATTGTACCATATCAAGTCAATCATCTTATCCTCTATCACTAAGAGTTAAGTTATATGCACGATCGTATATGAAATCATTACACAATAAGGTCACTTATAAGGTTAGTGCAAAAAAATCGCTATGATAAGCACTACTTTCTAACACCAACAATCCAGTGGAATCCCACAAATGGGGTCTGGAAGCACTACTTTGTAACGTCGTTATAAAATTGGTGACTAAAACTCGATGGTAAAAGAGGACAAACCGTGATTTCAATAGGCACACGCTTATCAATCCGATGTTGGTAGTACAAATCAATGCAGTCAACATCGAGTCTCTTTAAGCTGGCTTCGCATGCCGCCCTTACATAAGATGGATCTCCAATTATTTCTATTTTTCCATCTGCAGAACTAATACCAAACTTTGTTGCTAACTCAACTCTTTCTCTCATCCCTTTTTTCAGAGCCTGCCATGGTCATAGTATGAACGTTATCAACAAATCTATAAATCAGTAAATCAGTATAAAGGCAAATAAATGTTCACGCTGATTACAAAGACAGATAAGTAGAAGTTGAACCACCGACCTCGGAAAGGGTTTGAATCCCCCTAGACCACTGAGTTATGCTTTTGGACTATGGCAAGGGGATCAAAATATAATATAGAGACGCACAAAATGGATTTTGCCTTATACGTACATGTAATTTTTCGGCAAAGGGGATTCGGGTGAATCCCCTCCGCCAGCTAAATCCGCCCCTAGTGGATGTAGTGTTCAACTTATGGTTCATTCGTATCTAGTAGCTTTGGCTCGACCAGTATATGTGTTACCAATTTACCAGATAAGTACAAATAATTGATTTCGGATATAGTAAAGTAAATGAGTAGTGGTAGAATCACGATTCACGAACTCAAACTCATAAGTTCAAATCCTGAATCCACCTCTGGTCACAAGGTCACAAGTAGACACAGTATATATCACATGCTCAAGAGTACCAACCTTTCCTGCTTATGTTTTGCCAAACGAAAACACAAGGATCGGACCTTTATGAATAACTTGATTACTTGCAGATTGATACCCTCAGCTGAAATTCCACAAATTAGGAAACACAAGAATTCAATCGAAAAATTGCTCCCTATTTTCTAAACTATACTACGTGCTAGATCCTTTCAACAACAACAACATACCCACTGTGATCCCACTGGTGGCGTGTTAGATCCTTTACAACATTTTATTGCCAAGGAAGATTTCCTAGCAATCTTGCAATACTTTCTTGTGGGGTATCCATAAAATGTTAAAAACAGGAAAACTGAATTTTAATCTCAGTTTTCTTAGTATTCTAATTAAGATATTAAAATGAAAGGTCTATGATAAATAAAACTGTCGCGATTTCAAGAGCTAATTAAGGTACCTTGCCGATAAGGATTTCATTGGTGTGAGGTCCATATATATCAGAAGTATCGAGGAAAGTGATGCCGGAGTTAATGGCATGGTGAATGAGTTTGATCATGTCATCTTCAGGTTTCGGCGGGCCATAAAAGGCGGACATGCCCATGCAACCTAGTCCTTGAGCTGACACTTCCAAACCCTGTGATCCTAGCTTCATTCTTGGCACTTTTCTTCCCTCTGAATCCATTGATGGGTCTAAGAAAATCTCTTTTTGCATGCTAAATATAGAGAAACGGGGGGGTTGCTTCTGCTGGATGAAGATTGCAGAGGTTTATATGAAGCTGTGGAGACAGAAGGCAATTATGGAATAACTTGTTATGTTGAAAAGAGTCAAATAAGGAGCATTAGCCAGCCATTATGCAAGCACATGAGCGAAACAATATTCAACGGTTGGGTGCTAGTGTTAATTCCTCTGTTTACTTTTCCCTTTACTTATTCAATAATTGCTGAGTTATTCAATTTAGAAAATTCCTGAACTCTCAATCGATGTTTGGACTGAATTTGACTAGACAGGAAGTTTAAACATAAAAGAGAAAATGGCATTTGACATATAAGCTAAATAAACCTGCATCCATATAATATATGGAAAATGGCCGTATTATCCCTGCCGTCCATCAAAGTTTTATATTTGTCCAGGTTTTAACGGTCAAGACACGTAGCAGCATTTAATCAAAAGATCCAACCCACAAAATTAAAAAAAAGGAATTTTTACACCCTATAGAAAACCTTAGTACCCTATTTATTTTAAATAAATACCATTTTAAAATATTACATCCTATAAATACATTTTATCATTTATAGCAAAAAATCTAAATATAGTTACATCCTACAATTAAGGCAGCATATATGCTAAATATTATTTTTCTCTCTCACTTTTTTGTATTTTCTCTCACATAATTACCGCGTATGTGCAAACCCCAATACAACCCCTCTCTGTTTGCATACAACCAGACTCTCTTCTCCCACAAACCCTAGTTTCTTAACTCTTCTCTCACCCAAAATCTCAATTTTCTGCTCCACGTCACCAACATTATCTATGTGCATATTCGATAAGAAATACAGATAGGGTGTAAAAATTCCAATAAAATACCCAGTATGGTCGAACTTCTAAACCCGTTAGCCAGGCGAAGAGCTTCTTCTTCGTTGAGAAACCCTCTCCTTCTTCCACCTCAATTTCACCAATTTTTCCAACTCTCAACATCCATTTTTTCCAATTAGCCAACATATCCAAAACCCCATTTATAATTGGAGTAGCTATTGATTTATTCTTCTCACCATAGCTTTCGTTGGCTTTGATCCACTTCTTGACTGGAATTGGCAGCAACTTTCTCGTTGAGTTCAAGCTTGAGGATTGAGTTTTTACTTGTAAGTATAATGTGAAAAGGGAAAAAACAAGGAATTTGCCTCATGGCTGACCATTCGGAATTAATGGCTGGCCGCCGGCAGGCGAAGCCATCGGGTTGTTTCTCTCTCTAGATCGCCCAAATCGCCTATTTGTATTCAGTTGTATTCGAATGTATTTTTCAGTTGTATTCACTTGTATTCAGGTTTAATTAGTTGTATGTAACTATTTTATTCAGCATTAGTTAGTTGTATTCAAGTGTTTACAACTGTATTTAGTTGTAGTTAGTTATATTCAACTATTTTATTCAGCAGAAATTAGTTGTATTGTGTTGCATTCAAGAGTTTATTCAGATGTATTCAGTTGTATTTTTGTTGTATTCAAGTATTTTATTCAGATGAATTAAGATGTATTTTGTTGTATTCAACTGTATTATTCATATGTATTTCTCTTTATTCAGCTATAATTTTTATTATGTATCTTTCAAATACAAATTAATGAGGGATCGTTTTAGTTCGTTGAGTTCAATTAGGAGAATATCATGTGATTTTATTTTCTTCTATTTTTAGCGCAGATATGTTATTGTATTTAATGTTAATGTCGCTTGAATACAGCTAAATACGTGTCAAACTTAGCTGGAATTCCAGATTTTATGCCTATATTTTTTGTTGTATTAATGAATACAACAACTTAAATACATGAAATATATTGTATAAAAACATAAAATATACCTATAACATGTAATATAGTAAAGGATATCTATAAATAGCTAATTAGACCAAAAAATGATGCTTTATGAAAAATTCCCTATTTTAAAGCAGGTCACATGTTCTAGAGGCGACCTACTTTTATTGTTGGGCCAATCATCCAACGACCCAATATCGGTAAGGTCCAGTTCTAGGCTTGGGCCTAAAGAGAAGATAATGGCCCAGATCCCCCAAAATTGTCATTTTAATTCAAATAATTTAATATAAAAATATTGTGGCAGTTGTACCATATAAATTACTTTATAGCCTGTTTGGCCAAACTGCAAAAGACAGCTTATTTTTAGAAGTGTTTTTTTTAAAAGTGCTTTTCTCAAAAGTACTTTTGGTGAGAAGCAGTTTGTGTTTGACTAATTAGTTTGAAAAACACTTCTGAGCAGCAATTAATGTTTGACCAAATTTTAAAAAACTGCTTCTAAGTGTATTTTTCTCAAAAGTGTTTCTAAAAAAAGTGCTTTTGGAGATAAGCTACTTTTTCTGCTTCTGCTTCTCCTCAAAAATACTTTTTTCCCTTCCAGAAGTTTGGCCAAACACCTCAATTTTGGCAAAAAATGCTTTTGGCAAAAAAAAAAAAAAAAAAAGCACTTTTGGCCAAAAAGAAGCTTGGCCAAACAGGCTATTAGTCAAACTCAGTAGCTTTGATCATATTAATAGCCTGTTTGGCCAAGCTTCAAAAATCAACTTATTTTGAGAAGTACTTTTTAAAAAAGTGTTTTTTGTGAGAAATCGTTTGTGTTTGGATAATTAATTTGAAAAGCACTTTCGAGCAGTAATTAATATTTGGTCAAGCTTTTAAAAATTGCTTCTAAGTGTATATTTTTCAAAAGTGCTTCTCAAAAAAAGTATTTTTAAAGAGAAACTACTCTTTTGTGCTTCTCAAAAAATGCTTATGCTTCTCCTAAAAAACACTTTTTTCCTTCTTAAAGTTTGGCCAAACATTTCAATTTTTAGAAAAAACACACAATTGGCCCAAAAAAGCTTGACCAACGAAGCTATAAGTACGTGTTTTAAATTTTTTACTAATTATGTTTAAATATTAAATTTCGAGAGCAAAATCTTGAACCAGAGCCAAGTATATGATTTAAAGTTTATGAGTTCAAGATTCTATTCCTTTTTAAGTTATTGACTTCTAAAATAATAATTTGTACATATTTAACTCATTTTTTTAAAGACAAATACTTGATTCGAACTAAATTTAGTGGGTTCAGTTGAACCCGTAAGCCATGTTGTTGGGCTAAACTAACCCAAATACATTATTCACATGGTGTGATATTGTCCGTTTTGGGCCAAACCCGCATATTTTTCTCAAAAGGTCTCACACCATTAAGAGTTCCCTACACCTTATATATGAACTCCCAATCTTTTCAGCTTTCAATATGGAACTTTATTCGCGCACCCAGCAATATTCCCCTCGAACTAAGTTCCACGTGGCTCACTACCATGCTTCATGGGTCTCCCCCTCGAACTGAGTTTCATGTGGCCCATTGCCACGATCCACGGGTCAATTTATGAGATTCACTGTGTGACACCCACATTGTTAGAGTATTATGACAATCGAAGCCCGCAACTAGCATCTTCTTGCGTGCGCACCAACCACACCATCACTTTGTCATCTTCATACTTGTCCCGCCGAATCTGGCACTGATACCAATTGTTGTGCTAAACTAACTCAAATATACTCTTCACATGATATGATATTGTTCGCTTTGGGCCAAAATCGTAGGATTTCTCCCAAAAAATCTCACATCATTAAAAGATTCATACACTTTATATATAGATTCTCAATCTTTTCAGCTTTCAACTCTGTTCGCATACCTGTCTCGCTCTCAAAAAGCCCAAATCTGCCTCTAATTATTACACTTACCTCCACCGCTATTTGTGATCATAACAATCACGATATTAAAGATGTACTATTAAAATTCTCAAATTAAATAATTTTTAAATATAAAAACGGAAGTCACTAGTGACGTGTTTTCGTACAATATTTGCCTTGTCAAAGTACTACAACGTCACTAATGACGTGTCATAGTCAAAATCCAAACCTCAAATAGCTTTCACATCTCTATGACCAACCACCTACGTCATCATCCACTGGCTCTGTCACCGATCTCTATATATAGATACATACTATGTTTACTGTATAGCATCTCAGTCTCAAAGTATTTGCAAAGTTAGCCGAAATCACAACAATGGCCAAAGAGGGAACAAAAGTGCCAAGAATTAAACTGGGTTCACAGGGTCTAGAAGTGTCAGCTCAAGGACTTGGTTGTATGGGTATGTCCGCTTTTTATGGGCCGCCCAAGCCCGAACCCGATATGATCCAACTCATTCACCATTCCATCAATTCTGGTGTCACCTTTCTTGATACATCAGATGTGTATGGGCCCCACACCAATGAAATCCTACTTGGCAAGGTACTATTTAAGTTCTTTTATTTTTTTAATTTTATGCTGTAGGATGGTTGTACCTAATGCTGAATGTGTTGTAATGCTGAATGGGTTGATCTCATGTTAAGCAACTCCAACTTCCAAATAGAGGTTGTGAGTTGGAGCAAGGTGGTAACTTCTTGGATGGAAGGATGCCGGGTATTTATTTGGAAACAATCTCTCTACCTCAGTGTAGGGTAAAGTCTACATACACACTACCCTCCCCACACAGGGGCGAAAGGTACATGGTAGCAAGGGTGGTCAATTGACCACTCTTCGTCGAAAAATAATACGGTGTATATAGGTAAAATATTAGGATTTATATATATGAAGAGCCATAGCCCAGTGGCTAAGGGTGGTCAAAAATGCCACATGGACGCAGGATCGATCCCCCAGCTCCACAAATGTTTTTTTGTGTTCAGATTTGAACACCCTTAAATATTTTTTTGGGTTCGCCACTGTCCCCACACCCCATTAAGTGAGATTATACTGGGTTGTTGTTATTGTTGTTGTTCGAGTTGTGTGATGGGTACTTCTGGTGTTTTGAGCTGTACTAATGCTAAATATGTTGTAAATAGAAAGGTATTTAAATATTTTTCTAGCTTCGCCACTGTCCCCACATCCCATTAAGTGAGATTATACTGGATTGTTGTTCGAGTTGTGTGATGGGTACTTCTAGTGTTTTGAGCTGTACTAATGCTGAATATGTTGTAAATAGAAAGGTATTAGTTTTTCGGAACGAACTA